AGCTAGGACTACAGGCGCCCGCCACCATGCCCAGCTAATTTTTATATTTTTAGTAGAGACGGGGTTTCACCATATTGGCCAGGCTGGTCTCGAACTCCTGACCTTGTGATCTACCTGTCTTGGCCTCCCAAAGTGCTGGGATTATAGGCGTGAGCCACCACGCCTGGCCACAACAAGAATATCTTTAGATAATAATGACTCTACTCTAACCAAGTGCCATGGGAAAACCTGCAACCCTACCCCTTTAAGCAAAGGCTTAGTGGGGGCCCAGATGTCTACCCTCACCTGGCTGTAAATGGGGTCAGAGAGGGCCAAGAGGGAAGCTGGGCCTTTGACCACCTCCCAGCAGTAATAAGCCCTCTTTTAGCCTTGGTGTCAATAGAGGCCACGTGCAGAGTAGTAATAAATCCCAGAATGAGAGGAGAAAAAAAGAAAGGTTGAAAAAGTATTCAAAGAAATAATGGCTGAAAATTCCCCCCTATTTGGCAAAAGACACACACCCACTGATTCAAGAAGCTAAGTGAAAGTCCAAACAGGAAACATCCAGTGAAATCCAGGCCAAGACATGTCATAATCAAACTTTTGAAAGAAAAAAAGATAAAATAAATCTTGAAAGCTATGCGAAATGACTCCTTACCAATGAGAGAAGCAATTTGAACCATAGATTTCTCATTAGGCACCAAGGAGCCAGAAGCAAGCAGTGTAGTATTTTTCAAGCACTAAAGACAAGAGAAAAATAGCATTTTGTATTCAGTGAAAATATTCTTCAGGTATGAAGGGAAAATCAAGACATTCTAAGATGAAGGAAAACTAAGAGATTTTGTCACCAGCAGACCTACGCTAAAAGAATGGCTAAACAAAGCATTTGAAACACAAAGGAAATGATAAAAAGAGTAATTTTGAAACAACAGGAAAAAAGAAAGAACAACAGAAAGGAGAAAAATATGGGTAAATACAATACACTCTTTCTCCTCCTGAGTTTTCTAATTGTATTTGACAGTTGAAGCAAAATCATTACACTGTCTGATGTGGTTCTTGATGTATATAAAGGAAATATTTATAACAGTTATAAGCAGGGAAAGAAAAGACACTTAAAAAGAAGTAAAGTTTTTAATACTGCGCTAAAATTGGGACAGCTACTCTAAAAAATAGTCTTGCAGTTTCTTAAACTAAACATACTCTTACTATGCCATTTAGCAACTGCACTTCAGGGCATTTATCCAAGAATAATAAAAACTTATTTTAATATAAAAATCAGCACAGAGATGTTCTTAACAGTTTTTATTTGTAATAGCCAAAAACTAGAAAAAAACACAAATGTCCATCAATAGGTGAATGGTTAAATACACTGTGGTATATCAATACCATGGAATACTACTCACCAATAAAAAGGAACAAACTGTTTACATGCAACAGCTTGAATGTATTACATGTATCTCAAGAACACCGAGCAGGGCTAAAATAGCCAGTCTCAAAATGTCACTTATTATCTGCTGCCAGTTATATATTATTCAGAAAATGGCAAAATTATAGAGTGGGAGAACTGATTCGCATTTTCTAGGCATTGGGGGTGGTGGGTGGAAAAGGGTGGGTGTGACAATGAAGAGGTAATACCCTGGAGAGCTTCTTCACTGAACTGTGTTTTTCTTAGAAGGCGTTTCTCTTTTTCTATCTCATGCCAGAGTGCTTTGTGAATGACAGTCATTTCTCAGCTATTGCTAATGACACTGAAGTACTAAAATTTTTATTCAGAGAAGAGCAATTCCTCTAACTTACCAAATTATGACTCTATATTATTTGACCTCTTAGCAACTGTTATAGCACCAGAATGTGGTAGTTATCATACAGAAAATATATTATAGTTATCTTTGAGATCCTTAAATAAGCTAGGGAGCAGGAGGAGAAAGAATAGCTCTAAGATCAAATGGAAATGTTAAAATATCATCTGGCTTGAGCTCTTTTATCTGAACCTTCTAGGGAGAGCCAGCACTTTGATTTTAGGGACCCAACTCTGCTGCTTGCCAGCACTGTGATCTTGGGCAAGGTATTTAGTACTGCTAAGACTTGGTTTTCCTTAATAATGGTTCTTACAGCATTGAGTTGTTGTGAAGCTTGAGTGAGAGTGTGCACATAATTACTGCCACATAGTAAAAACCTCAAAAAGAATCAGCATTTAAAAAATTTTTAATATCCTAAAATTTTTGAAATTGAGTAATTTGCTCATCACAGTTTTAGGTGACTGATTTTTACAGGTGTCAAAGAACATTTGTCTAGACCATGAGTAGGAGAAAAATTAACCTAACTGAATGGGTGGCTCTGTCACTACTTATGAGGATAACTATCTAAAACAGGGGTTTGAATTAGGTAAACACCCTGGTGTCTTTTTGTTCAAAAATTACTCAGGTAATGTCAGCAATTATTTGCTTCGCAACCATAGCCTGCATGACTCCCTGGAGATCTACAAAGATTATAGTCTGGAGAAAGTAAACTGTCTTCTGGTTACACTATGTCCCTGTCACCCCAACAGCCAATGATAATTATATACCTGGTACCTATGTGTGATGGAAATGAGAAAGGGGACAGGAAAGAGACACCCCTGCCCCTCATCGTAGGCCAAGCCCTGGGTTCTCAGTGTTTCTGAGCAACACTGCAAGAACTGGTGTTATTGTTCCATTTTAGAAACAAGGCCACTCAGTAAGAGTTGAAATAAAATTGAACTCAATCTATAAAGCTCTTGCTTATTGCCATATAGGGCTTAGCCTGTCTATTAGTAAAAAAGTAAAAATAAAAATACTTAATACACACACATGCACACATTGTAGAGGCACGTCTGCGTGTTATACGCAGGCTGCATCCTACTCACACCATTGACGTTGGTTGCCCGTCAACGTTGCTCTAATAGTCCTCTGCTAATTGGGAATGTTCACAGCTCGGATGCTTTTACATTGCAGGGGGGTTGTGGGGAACAATTAAATGTCTAGAGTCTGCTAAGGATTATTAAGTGCTAGCAATTGCCCTCTCAGGTAATTGCTTTTGAGCCATAAAGGGACAGTTAAATAAGCACTTCCATTTTAATATCATTTTGAAGAGATAAAAAGGATTCTAAAATTCCATAGTGTCTAAATTTGGTACTGCTGTTCAGGAGGTGAAGAAACTTTATAGTCATGTGCTTTTTATAAAGGGATAATTGCCTGCTTCAAAAACTTCTTTAGTTAGAATTTTTGGGGGTAAGCTGTAGAAGCTCCACAATGAAGGAGACCCCCTTTTCCAGCCAGAAATGAATTCCCTGCCCAGGAAGTCTGTCCCCCATGCAGCCAGACTCTGGAAAGGGGCTGGGAGCTGGGGAAAAGCACGTTTCAAGGCAGAAGGAAGGACGTTTGCAAAGCCCCAGAGATGAGAACACAAGGACACTCGGAGTTTCCTTTGCCTGGGCCGAGCACTGGAGCTGGGGCTGGGGCTGAGCATGTGGGTACTGAAAGACAAGATGAGGAACTTGGATGTTAAGGGCAACGGAGGATACTGACTGCCCTTACTGTATAGGTGTTTGTTTACCTCTTCTCCAGTTTTAATATTTACATAGGTCATAATGTTCCCTTCAGTGTAAGGTCAGTCAGTAACCTCCGTTGCTCGGCCCAGGCAAAGGAAACTCCCTGAGTGTCCTTGTGTTCTCATCTCTGGGGCTTTTCAAACGTTCTTCCTTCCGCCTTGAAACGTGCTTTCCCCCAGTTCCCAGCCCCCTTCGGCTGGCCGGCTCCTACTAATTCTTCAAGTTTCTACTTGACTGTCATTTCTCTAGCAAGTCTAATTCCGGGACTGGTTTAGTGTCCAGCTATGATTCTCCACACCACCCTATAATTTATTTTGCATAGCATGTATGCCCTATTGTGATTTATTGTAAATGATTCTGTGTCCAGTTCCTCACTTAAGCTGTATTCTCTGTAAAGGAATGCTCCAGGTCTCATTTACTTCTCAACCTCATTGCTTGGAATATCCTAGGTGCTAAGTACATGAGTGAACCAGGACATGCACCCAGGATATCCTGAGCAGAGCTTATATCAAATAAAGAAATCACATTAAAACGATTAAAATATGAATTAATATGAATTAATAAATTCTTGGGTATGTGGGGAAGGTGGCCTAGAAAATTCACAATGTGATCTCATATGAGGACAGAATTACACAGTATTTTTTAGCATTAAATTTTGAATCCTCAGTGATAGGCTTCATTGCAGATTCAAATATAGTCGTGACTTTTTAAAGTAGAGTAAGATGCTTCAGGTCTGTGTTTTTCAACTTTTCAAGCCCTTTGTCCATTCTGATAAACCAAACAAGTTCACACCCTTACCCCTGCCCCATCGCATTTGACAATGACTATGGAGGGGCTTCTTCCACATATTCCCACCAGCCAAGGTTTTATTTAGTTAGTTGTTAGAATATTGAATATGTTTTTTCATGGTCAGGCGCAGGCACAGTGGCTCACACCTATAATTCCAGAATTTTAGGAGGCCAAGGTGGGCAGATCACCTGATGTCAGGAGTTTGAGACCAGCTTGGCCAACATGCTGAAACCCTGTACCTACTAAAAATACAAAAATTAGCTGGGCATGGTAGCGAGAGCTTGTAATCCCCCCTACTTGGGAAGCTGAGGCAGGAGAATCACTTGAACCCGGGAGGCGGAGATTGCAGTAAGTCAAGATTGGGCCACTGCATTCCAGTCAGGGTGACAGAGAGAGACTCTGTCTCAAAAAAAAAAAAAAAAAAAAACAAACAAACAAACAAACAAAAAAACAGTATTGAATATGCCTTTTCAATTTATGACAGTCTCAGAGGTCATATATTTTTCTCCACATCTCGTAAACTCCAGTGTTTAAAATAAAAAGAGACTCATGTTAGTTTCTGAATGAAACAGTGTGTACCTCAAAGGTGTGTATTTTTTACTTGTAGGATTCTTCTTATCCTTTTGCAGTTGTCCTCTAATGATTGAGTTGTCTTCTAAACCAGGTGCAGTTACATGATAGACAATGTGATTCTGCTGATGAATGGTGCATTGCAGAAAAAATCTGTGAAAGAAATTCTGGGGAAGTGCCACCCCTTGGGCCGTTTCACAGAAATGGAAGCTGTCAACATTGCAGAGACACCTTCAGATCTCTTTAATGCCATTCTGATTGAAACGCCATTAGGTAGGAACACTTAGGTAATTTGGTAGCTGCTTGTGTATGTTATCACAGTCATTAGAAAATGTACTATTTTTTCTTCCCTGTGGTCCAAAAGAAAATGTACTTTGATTTCACAATTTTTTTTCCATGTATACAGTAGCATACTATGCAGATTCCTGGAAGTGGCAGAGACATTAAGGAATCATCTAGTTCAGCTCCCTCATTTTTCAGATGAGGACAAATGAAGCAACCTGCTCAGATCACATGTGAACCATTTGTAGTAGAGAAGGAATTGGGGCTCATCTCTCAACCTTCAAACCCTTCACTTTATACCAGGTCATAGCAAATAAATAATAGAACTTGTCATTCTTCAAAAAAATGTAATTTTCTAGCTTGGTTTTAGAGGATTAGTTTCTTGTCCTTCCATTTAAACTTCTGTCTAGATAGGTTGCATATAGGAAGCATTTTGTTTCAGGAAGTTTAAAAATGTAATTTTTCTGAGATGCTCAAGAGATGACTGAGATGTCAAGTCATCAGAAGCAATGATGAAATGATTGTTAATTTCATTATAATTTGGCACTAACAAGAGTTGTAGTATTCAAAATGCTAAAGAGATAATTGTATAAGCATCATTATCTAATATTGTCAGGAAATCTGGATAGTAGCAATTCACTATTGATCATTTGTCAAAATAGTTGCTGTTTAAAATAGATATTTTAAAAAGGAAAAAAAAATATTTGTGTCATCATTAAGCACCCGATGCTGAGATACCATAGGCTAGTCGAGAGAGGTTGAGACCGCAATCAGACAGCCATGAGCATGAAGCCAGGCTCTGCCCGGTCCCAACAAGGTGACTAGGAGCAATTCAATTCACCCTAATTTCCTCATTTTGGAAATAATCGTGTCTTTTTATAACAGAGTTTTAAAAATAAAACACAATTTAAGTACAACTCCATGCTTGGCACATACTAAAGTTGCAAATAATAAATATTATCGTTAGATAGTAGAGGAGGGGGGACTTCCAAAAAAGCCTTAAGTGAATAGCTCCAAGGTGTTGTGAAGATTAAGTGAAAGTATATTCAGTGTGTAGTGTAGTGAGTGAGGTTTAGGGCAGTAGTCCCCAACCTTTTGGGCACCAGGGTCTGGTTTCGTGGAAGACAACTTTCCCAACATGGGAGAGAGGGGATGGTTTCGGGATGATTCAAACACATTACATTTATTGTGCACATTATTTGTATAATTACTACATTGTAATATCTAATGAAATAATGATACAACTCACCATAATGTAAAACCAGTGGGAGCCCTGAGCTTGTTTTCCTGCAATTAGACAGTCCCATCTGTGGGTGATGGGAGACAGTGACAGATCATCAGGCATTAGACTCTCATAAGTAGCGTGCAACCTAAATCTCTCACATGCACAGTTCACAATAGGGTTTGCTCTCCTATGAGAATCTAATGCTGCCACTGATCTGACAGGAGGCGGAGCTCAGGTGGTAATGCAAGCAATGGGGAATGGTTATATAATTATAATTACAGTTGAAGCCATTCTCTGGTCCACCGTTCACCTCAGCTGTGTGGCTCAGTTCCTAACAGGCCACGGACCGGTGTTGGTCTGTGGCCTGCAGGTTGGGGACCCCTGGTTTAGGGCTTACACATGATAAATGCTTAAAAAGTAATAACTGCTTTCATCCTCATTACTATTAGCCTTATTTAGTTGAGTGTATGGATTGCAACTCTGCAGTGTTCTTGTCAGGAGTGAGCAGAGGGTGGTGTGTTCAGGATACATTTTCTACAGTTTATAATCTCGCTTAAGATTCATTTTTTGGTATGGCAATTTCTGCTTTCAGCTCCGTTCTTCCAAGACTGCATGTCTGAAAATGCTCTAGATGAACTGAATATTGAATTGCTGCGCAATAAACTATACAAGGTAATGGTTGTCCCAAATATTGCGTTTTTCTTGATTACACAATATATTGTGACTAGTGTTCTCTAATAAAAGTTACGTTGCTCATTAACCAACTTCTGCAATTATGAAACTGTGCATATTTGGAATATAACTTTTATAGTTCTGGCCTATTCTCTAGTTAAATGCATGCATGTCAGCTTCCCCTAGCCAGCAAGATATTTGAGAGGAAATAACATGCCCTATTCTTCCATATTCCCAGCTCCTTGCATGGTATCTGGAACATAAAAGGTGTTTGGATGGTGGTAGGTGAATAAGTGGGATGAACAATATCAATCCATTTAAAGCAACCAGCACACATAGTAAACCTTCTGTTATGCAGTGTTCATCTCTGACCTCAATCTTGTTAGTATCCCTGAATCTCACAGCTAATCTGCCCACACAATTTTAATCTATAGTGTGCAGCATACCAGAATGAACAATTTGTGTACACTGCATCATAAGTACCACTTTGCATAATCTGATTGTCTGTCTGGACTGTGCTGCCACCATTTGAGTAGCTGTATATACTATAGACTGAGCAAAATCTGTCCATTTTTACTCAAATAACCATAGCCTCTTTGGACACTCACACAGAGTAACTGAATATATACGGCCATGCCATATACATGGCATCCTGTGTTCAAACATGTGGTCCTTTCAAAAGCGTATTGCAGGCAGTGTTCCTTTTGGTAAAGTGACTTATGGGCCTAGAGGAGGCATCTTTGAGATATAACTAACAGAAGGCACTGTTCTAAGTAATTTATAGGCCTTAACTCACTTAATCCACCTGGCAAAAATATGATGTTTATGCTATCTCCCTTCCTCAGAGGAGAAAACTGAGGCTTGGAGAGCCAAGGTTTCTTTGGAAGAAGTCAGTTAGCTAAAACGTATTAGAGTTGGGATCCAAATTCAGGCAGTCTGACCCTACAACCTTTCCCATATAGCTCCAAGCTCAAAGCTGTCCCAAATGTGCCTCTATAAGAGATTAAATGTCAGCATAGGGCTGAATCTAAAATTATTCACTGATCTCAGAAAAGAACTTGGCACTCTTGTTAAAATAGCAAGAATTAACCATATGAAATAATCCAAAACCATGCAAAAAAAGTGCTTGTTAAGTAATTATAAGTTATGATAAATGCAGTTTTGTCCTTTTCTGGATTTCCTTTTTAGTCTATGCAACATGCTGCAATATGAAAGCTTCTACCAAATTTATTATAAAATATCTCCCTATGGGAGATGTAATTCAATTTCCGTTAAAGCATTTGATAAACCATGAAAAGCTGATCTAGAAATTTTCAAAAGGAATATATATTCATTATATCACTTTATGATCTTTTTTCTTTTTAAGTCTTACCTTGAGGCATTCTATAAATTCTGTAAGAATCATGGTGATGTCACAGCAGACGTTATGTGTCCCATTCTTGAGGTAAGAAAGAGTCCTTGAATTTTGTTATGCTATATAAGGTGCTTCCATATTTTTTATTGTTTTAACCTTACTTAAATTTCCTTATCTTTGAAGTTTTTTTTTAATCTAGAAATAAGACAAGCAGTACATTTTACTATATGTATTATTTGATGTATTTGGTTAAGAGTTGTATTTTCCAACTCTTTAGGTTGGAGCCTGGAAGTTTTCTACATGGAAAAGTTATCTTGGAATTAGAAAATAATAATGCTTACACAGATTTGGCTATGATTCATTTTGATGTAGTATGTAAAAAATAGATTCTAAACAATAAAAATTTAGTATACTGTTGTTACTGGAAAAGAGTCCCACCCCAGACCCCAACAGAGGGTTCTTGAATCTCAGCAAGAAAGAATTTGGGTCCATAAAGTGAAAGTAAGTTTATTAAGAAAGTAAAGGAGTAAAAGCATGGCTACTTCATAGGCAGAGCAGCCCTGAGGGCTGCTGGTTACCCATTTTTATGGTTATTTCTTGATTATATGCTGAACAAGGGGTGGGTTACTCATGTCTACCCTTTTTAGCCCACATAGGGTAACTTCCTGACATTGTCATGGCATTTGTAAACTGTCATGGTGCAGGTGGAAGTGTAGCAGTAAAGAGGACCATGGTCACTCTTGGTTTCGTAGGTTTTAGCAGGCTTCTTTACTGCAACCTGTTTTATCAGCAAAGTGTTTATGACCTATATCTTGTGCCGACCTCCTATCTCGTCGTGTGACTTAGAACGCCTAACCATCTAGGAATACAGCCCAGTAGGTCTCAGCCTTATTCTACCCAGCTCCTATTCAAGATGGAGTTGCTCTGGTTCAAATGCCTCTGACCCTATGAGTAATGAATGGACTATAGACACTCAATAATGACCCAGATTCCCTCTGGTGAGGGAACATTGGGTAGTTGGGAACCCCCACAACTTGGCACCAAAAGTCCACTATAACTTCATCCACAGGGACATTGTACCTTATAAATCCTAAAATAAAGGCTGCCCCAAGCATCCCATGAGCATTCCAGCTTTTGGCAGGAAGACCCCTTGGCTATGTGATTCACAGTGGGTAAGCTCATTTAATTACATGTCAAACGCCACCATTGGTATCTACCTCTCTAGGTTATGTGATACTCTTGTTAATTCCTCTTAAGGACTACAGATTTCATCTATGCTTAGGAGTCCTCTTGCTTAAGAATATTGACCCACAAATGCATGGGAGATTCAGGGCAGAGATCAGAAGGATTTGTGGGGCATCCTGCACATAATTTGCACTGAGTATTTTACATCTATTCCTCTTGCTAGTAAATAATTTCCTAATTCACTTAAAAAGAAAAAAAAAATCACTTAGTGCTTTTATAAGCCCTTACTTTGCCCTGTGAAACTACATTTTATCTAAAGAATATTTTTCATCATTACATTATCTGGTACAGTGACTTCACTGGTGGGTGGAATTCTGATTTCAAGAAAAGCCTAATAAGCATTACCCTTTAGGTAAAAAGAAAAAATTAACTTCATTTGCAAATATTTCAACCTAAACTCTGAAACCACATATGATAAAATTAGCTCCCCTCAAAACATCTAATCATTAAAATGTTACTTGCTTGATGACTGGTGATATAGAAAAAAGAAACAAAAAGTTTTATAGTTGAAGATATTTTGCTATTCCTTATTGAGATTTTGTTTGTTGTTTTTGAGATGTGGCCTCACTCTGTTGCCCAGACTGGAGGAGTGCAGTGGCATGATCCTGCCTCACTGCAGCCTCGACCTCTTGGGCTCAAATGATCCCTCCACCTCAGCCTCCTGAGTAGCTGGGACCACATGCCCATGCCACCATGCCCAGCTAAGTTTTTTATTTTTTTGAAAAGACCAGGTCTTGGCTGGACACGGTGTCTCATACCTATAATTCCAGCACTCTGGGAGGCCAAGGTGGGTGTAGCACCTGAGGTTGGGAGTGTGAGACCAGCCTGACCAACGTGGTGAAACCCTGTCTCTAATAACAAAACAAAACAAAAAAATTAGCCAGATGTGGTGGTGCACAGATTCTTGGGAGACTGAGGCACAGGAGGCATGAAGGTTGAACCTGGGAGGCGGAGGTTGCAGTGAGCCAAGATTATGTCACTGCACTCCAGCCTGGGCGACAGAGTGAGACTCCATCAGAAAAAAAAAAAAAAGAAAGAAAGAAAGAAAGAAAAGAAAGAAAAGAAAAAGAAAGAAAGAAAGAAAGAAGTCTATTTACGTATTTATGTTGTCCCAGCCTGAAATTCTTAAAATAAAGCCTAAGTAGTTATGAAGTGAAAATCTTATCGTTAAAGATCTCCAAAAAATATTTTTGTCCTTATCTATATTGTAGAGAAAGTGGATATTGAATAAATAAATAACATTTTTAAGGCATAGTAAATGGCAGAATGAAAAATAGTCTCTCTCAGTCATGCTAATCATGCAACATGAGTAACTAGTGACCCTATGGAGCCTTACCCTTTCTTTTCATAAATTCAGCTACTAGCCACACTATAAGAATCCGTATTATCTATGGCTCAAAAGTAGAATTTCTACTCAGCATGATTCTTGTGGTTTAGAAATGGTTTGTGTACTTTCTACCTGTGAAATATGTGAAATAAAAGTTATATGAAGACTCATAACCTTATCAAAGGTACACAATAGCACTATTCCTGAGTGCTTTATATACATGAATTCACTTAGACTTCAAAACCACACAGAATAGGTAGTCTAGTGTCTGTTTTTCAGAAGGAGCAACTGAGGCACAGAGAAGACTAGTAACTTACCTTATGTCTCACAGCTAGTAAGTCAGGATTGGAATGCAGGCAGTTGGCTCCGGTACTTATGTGCTTATCCACTCTGCCATAGTGCCTCTGCATTAAATTCACCATTCACAATTCTTTTATATAAACATAAATGCTAATTCATAAGCAAGATCATACTGTGTACTATAAAAATTGGTAAATAGGCAAGGTAAGAATTCTGTCTTTGAATAGGTAAGAAATAGGTAAGAATTATGTCTTTGTAATCCTCGGTAATGTAAAAAAAAAAAAGATAGTATCAGAAAAATGCTTATCACTGGGATGATATGATCAAATTATGATATGCCCAGTGTTCTCATTGTACTTTTCCAATCTTCATGGTATCAGATTAGATTAGTTGTTTGTTTGTTTCAAACAGCGTTAAAAAAGAATGCAGCTAGGCATGGTAGTTTATGCCTGCAATCCCAGCACCTTGGGGGACCTATGCAGAAGAATTGCTTGAAGCCAGGAGTTTGAGACCAGCCTGGACAACATAGCAAAATCCCACCTCTACAAAAATACAGAAATTAACCAGGCCTGGTGGAACATACCTATAGTCCTGGCTACTCAGGAGGCCGAGGTGAGAAGATCACCTCAGCCCAGAAGTTCCAGGTTCCAATGAGCCCTAAACCACCTCACTCCAGGCTGGGCAACAGAGTGAGATCCTGTCTCTAAAAAATAAAAATAAAAATAAAAATCCATTGAACCATTTTTATTTATATAGAAATATCAGCTACATAGGGCATGGAGTTAAAACGTTTATAATTATATGATCAAAGGGTGTTTGTCAGTTTACATAAATACTTTCGATCGTGTAATTACCTCCCTTTTATTTTTGTAACTATAGAGCACTTACTATTTATAAATTCCATGTATATTCTCATTTACTCTCATTTGGCCAGAGACTTAATATGGTAGAAGAGACCATTAACCTCAGCTTACATGTGAAAATCTGACCTAATTACAAGATTATAACTTCATATGAAAAAAAAAGAAATTGACTTATGTTCAAGGCAAATGCACTGTAGTATAATATTTGCCTTTTACTCCTACTCTTCAATCTTATGGTTAATAGGGCAGTGAAAAACAAGCATAAAATATGTTTGTTTGATCTCTACTGGTCAGTGTATGCGCTGATAAGGCTGGGCTCCATTCCAGTTCACTTTACTCTTTTCCATTGCCACTGACACCTCTGCCTACTGCCTCCTGCCAGGTGTGCCCTTCTTCCCAACAGTATATTGCTATCTCTTGCAATAACAACAAAAAATAAGGTCTAGTTTTAACATGAGTATGTTTTTATAGGGAAGAGTAAAAGGAAAGGCACAGGACTTCCAACATACACCATACCACACAGCATGCCAACTCTCTGCAAGAAACAGGAGCTAAGTCACACTAACACCAGACCATTCGGTCTCCTCTAATCAAATGCGTATCAAACTCTGCTTGGGGATGGTCAAAGAACAGTCCTTTTTCAATTCTAAAATGATGGGTTTTTTCCCTAAGAGGATAATACACACACTTACCCAAAAGAGCCTCTAGACTAGAAAAGTAAGGTAGATATATAGTCAGTTATGATAAAAGGAAAATGGAATGTAATCAGGGTTCAAAGGGAATCATATCCAATTAGAGAAGAAATGGAAGGACTTCTTATGAAAAAGATGACAATTGATGGGACGCGAATGCAGGGAGGATTTCGGCATGCAGAGTTATGGAAGAGAGCACATGTGTGGTAGGCTAAGGGAAGAAGTGGTAACAAGGACAAGAAGGTAGTGAGAAGATGGGGGGCTCTGATAACCTGTATCAGCCAAAGCCCTTTCTTCTTGTATTCATATTCTCTCCCCAGCTATCTGTCCTTCCCACTTCTCCAATTGCTTTTCCAATGATTGAGCGATGACAATTCCTCCAAAACATCCTATTTTACTTCCTGCAGCTCCCTCCTCCAACCTGGCCTCTGCTGTTTGCATGTCTGCAATGCTGCCTACCTTGCCCTAATTCTCTTATAAGATCATAACATTTTAGAATCAGAGAGCACATTAAAGAACATCTGGGACAATTACCTCCATTGTTGCTCTTGCTGCCCTAATTTTTGTCTGAAGTTTTCTTATTGCCATGAAATCTTCCTCTTGCATTTCTTCTCTTATCCCTAGAAGGTCTAAAATTACTGACAGGACTGGTTATATTCAGTAGCCAGAGACAGCTGCCTTTGCTTCCAAATAAAGCCACTCCCTACTTTTCAGCTCACCCATAATCTCCATGAGAGCAATCAAAAGGATCAGATGGAACTAACGCTCACTCTCCTGATAGAAAACACCTGTTCTTACATAACAGTTCCGGTGAAATCTGTTGCAAGTTGGGTTTTGTTATCAGTTAACCAGTCAAAAGCTGATTAGAGGATAGCACAGCAATTCTTTTCAGCTTTCATGTGCATACAGATAGCCTGGGAATCCTATGAAAATGCAGATTCTGGTTGAGTAGGGCTGGACTGTGGCCTGAGACTCTGCACTTCTAACAAGCTTCCAGGTGACATCAAAGCTACTGAGCCACAAAATATTGCTTTGAATAGCAACATTATGGAGAATGTTGGAGAATTTTCAAAGTATTAGGGGATCACACATCACTCTGTTGGATTCAGTAAGTACTTAAGACTTTCTTATGTGTCAGGCACTGGCTATTAAAAAAGGAACAAAAGGCTGGGCATGGTGGCTCATGCCTGTAATCCTAACACTTAGAAGGCCCAGGAGGGAGGATTTCTTGAGCCTAGGAGTTCATGACCAGCCTGGGCATTATGGCAAAATCCCATCTCTACAAGAAAAATTAGCCAGGCATGGTGTCACATGCCTGTAGTCCCTGCCACTTGGGAGGCTGAAGTGGGAGGATCACCTGAGCCCTGGGAGGTTGAGGTTGCAGTGACTCCTGACCCCACCACTGCACTCCAGCCTGGATGAGAGAGTGAGACCCAATCTCAAAAGGAAAAAAAAAAAAAAAAGAACAATGAAGTGGGGAGAAACACAGGCACAGATTTCAAAATGAAGTGGTAAGTACTGGACATTTGGAGTGCCTGGAGAATTGCTGCTTAGCCCAAGGAAACCATGGCAAGCCCCCACAGTAGGTAGAGGAGGAGTCCCTGAAGGAGAGACTGAGATGGAATGGCCAGAGTCGATAGGAGGAGAACCAAGAGATGGTAGAAACATGGAGCTCAAGGGAATATAAATGAAATTTCAAGAAAGACTTGAGGGGTCAGATGAAATAGGAATGATGGAGGGTGGGAGCCCAGGTGCCTAGTTCAGCACAGAGAAGACAGGCTGTGAGTATGTGTTGACCTATCTTGAAGATCGTTAGCCACACTCCAGCATCTTACACAGAAGAAAACTTCTTGAGAGAAACATGACTTGTCCCACCCCACATAGTTCTTAGCTAGTCTTAGATTTATTGATACCTCGCCTAGGACACTAACAAAGAAAACCAAAGGCATGAAAGTATAAACAAATGGTAGGTAGCACAAAATTTCATTATGTAAAAAGTTATGCTGACATTGACAACTAGGAAGGGATATTAACATGTATGGCATGCACTTTTTGTTCCAAATATCATTCTAAGCACTTCCACTTATATTACCTGGTTCTGTCCCTGAATGAACCCTAAGAAATAGGTATTATTCTCCTTTTTATAGAAGAGACACTTGCGACGCTGGTGGCCTAATGTGACAGAGACACGTGAGGAATTCATTGCAGGGTGCCCGGGAAATAAAGCTTACTGGGGTTTCAGGAGTCATAGGTCATCATTGCTGCTGTGTGATCCTTCTCTGGCAAGCAGAGTTACTCCATTACAAGAAAAGACTAGGGGAACACTAATAACACATGTCTGGAGTATAATTAGACATAGATCCAGAAAGGAAAGCAAATCATTTCAGAAATGAATTTGTGTAGTTAAGAGTCTGTTTATAGCATTTAGCAGTTTATTAGATTTTACTGGTTTTTGTCTTGCAAATTCAGTTTGAGGCCGACAGACGTGCTTTTATCATCACTCTTAACTCCTTTGGTACTGAATTGAGCAAAGAAGACCGAGAGACCCTCTATCCAACCTTCGGCAAGCTCTATCCTGAGGGGTTGCGGCTGTTGGCTCAAGCAGAAGACTTTGACCAGATGAAGAACGTAGCAGATCATTACGGAGTATGTGATGACCCTGGCTTCCCTAAGTCCCTTGTGTTAATTCATTTCCACGTGCTTTAGAAGCTCACACATCAAATGTCCACTTACATTCAAAAGAAGTAATAACATTTGTAAGGTAGCAAGCAGTGCTGAAGCAAGCTTCAGCAAGGGACACATTAAGTTTCTAGCCCAAGCTGCTAATTTTTAAGGTTCCTGCCAAGCAAGTACTTGTTTAAATCTCCGGGGAATGGTCATCTGAGCACTCCTTTTGAAGTGTTTGATAAAGCAAGTTCCCCCAGGAGACTGGTGGAGTGTTCTGGAAATGTGAGCTCATATCAACGTTATGTAAAATAGTCTGATCCAGCAGCCCTTTCAGGTACCCACTAAGGAAACAAGGTTAGGCACAGAACGTCTAGGTGGACTGCAAGGAAGGATATGGATGTATTAGTTTTTCCACTCACCTTGCTGAGTGGCCAGAAATCAGGAGAGGAAAGACAGCTGCTTGTGTCCTTCCCCCACTCCAGCATCCAGTTGCTCTTGGAGCACCTAAAACTCTTCAGCTTAAGGTTGTACGCGTCGGCTCAGCTTCCATTCCCTCTGACTTGCACAGAGTTACATAACCTCCAGGTAACTTTTCCAGGGCTAGAATGACACTCATCTTTTCCTGTGGGGTTCTGAAGCACTCCAGGAAAGATGAAAGTCAGCAAATGCATAAACTTTGTGACATCTCATAAGTAATTGCGTGAGACTCTTTAGCACAATATGAAAATTTGAATTTCTCCCACATTCGACCCCTTCCACACTGGAAATCGCATGTGAATTTTATCAATTTTCATCTCAAAGAACCTGTGAGCCCATACCGATCAAATCATGAGCATTCACTGAGCTTTTATAATGTACCCAGCTAGCCCCAAGACCCTGAGTGAGAAAATGAGTTCAAACACTGTATACTGAGAGTTGAATTGCCTTGTAGCCCTAAACAAGCCAGTAGGCTAGAATTTCATCCTCATTCTTGTTATTTGGATTTTTTGTTGTTTCTTTGGGAGGCCAAAATCCTATAAAAAAAACCTTCAAGTCCTCCTGGTATAGTTTTTTTTCTTAAATATGTGTGCAATTTCTATAATGCTAGGAAAAATATACTTACATACATTGATAAGAAATGAAAATGTATTTAAAGTTAACGTTTTTGTTTTTAAGGTATACAAACCTTTATTTGAAGCTGTAGGTGGCAGTGGGGGAAAGACATTGGAGGACGTGTTTTACGAGCATGAGGTATGATAAGTGAAAATGCTATTAGCTTATTTTTCTTTTACTGTGGATTTTATATATTTTCTTACTTTGGATTTTCTTTTTACAACTGATCATGTCAATTGATTAGGCACATTCATAGCCTGATAGGCAGTATTACTGTATTATTACTACAAAGTTACACACACAGCTAGGAATCTTCATGCTAGCAGTGCTACTAAAGTTTGGAGCTTTTCTTTTTTCTTTTTTTTCCCCTTCTAAAAGAGTTTACTTAAAAACTGCAGGAATTAATGGAAGTACATTCCATTCCTCGTGGAATTTGCTGAAGAACATTATTACAAATGCTACAAATTTTAGTGTAAAATTTTGGTTAATCATATGAGATAATGTTTCTTTTTTTAAAAAAATTATTATACTTTAAGTTCTGGGATACATGTGCACAACATGCAGGTTTGTTACATAGGTATACATGTGCCATGGTGGTTTGCTGCACCCCTCGACCCATCATCTACATTAGGTATTTCTCCTAATGCTATCCCTCCCCTATGCTCCCCCCTGCCCCCGCCACCAACAGGCCCAAGTGTGTGATGTTCCCCTCCCTGTGCTCATATGTTCTCATTGTTCAACTCCCACTTATGAGTGAGAACGTGTGGTATTTGGTTTTCTGTTCCTGTGTTAGTGTGCTGAGAATGATGGTTTCCAGCTTCATTCGTGTCCCTGCAAAAGACATGAACTCATCATTTTTTATGGCTGCATAGTATTCCACTGTGTATATGTGCCACATTTTCTTTATCCTGTCTATCATTGATGGGCATTTGGGTTGGTTCCAAGTCTTTGCTATTAGGAACAGTACCGCAATAAACATGTGCACATGTATCTTTATAATAGAATGATTTATAATCCTTTGGGTATATACCCAGTGACGGGATTGCTGGGTCAAATGGTGGTGTTAGTTCTAGATCCTTGAAGAATTGCCACACTATGTTCCACAATGGTTAAACTAATTTACACTCCCACCAACAGTGTAAAAGTTATCCTATTTCAATTTGGAGCTTTTCTTGTGATTCTACTTTAATAACTTCCATTGTCTACATTTATCTGCAGAGTGACACTCTCCATTTAGAACTTTCTGAGTTGTCACCATACTCCTCTATTAGGCCCAATTTAGAGATTGCTTATTTAAACACAAATAAGCACTGCACATGTACAAGCCAGTCAGCCGCTTAATATTATTTCATAATGTTCCAAATAAGTTGATGATCTGTGTTACTTTTTTTCTTTCCTCAGGTACAAATGAATGTGCTGGCATTCAACAGACAGTTCCACTACGGTGTGTTTTATGCATATGTAAAGCTCAAGGAACAGGAAATGAGAAATATTGTGTGGATAGCAGAATGTATTTCACAGAGGCATCGAACTAAAATCAACAGTTACATTCCAATTTTATAAGCCAAGTGAAGTTCTCAAATGCAGAAAATTATAAATGTTGAAAGGAAGTTATTGAAGAAAATAAAAGAAATTATGTTATTTATCTAGACTACACAAAAGTAAGCCACACTATATCTTCTTGAGCTGCAAATCCATGGAAACACAGTAAGCCAGCCCTGAAACAAAGCATTTCTTTATTCTCAGTGGCATTAGATCTTGTTTCCACATGTCTGTCTCATTCTTCACTGGGTCTTACAGGTTAATTTTAATTAACCCTATGGTATTTTTCTTATTCTTGTTTGATCATGTTAAAAATTGGACCTAATAAAAGTATTTTATTCATGCTTTTCCATGCTTCGCTACAGGTCCAAATACTGAATGTCTCCTTTGCTTTTTCTCTTTTAAATTTTTTTCTAGACAAGGTCTCAGTCTGTCACCTAGGCTACAGTGCAGTGGTGTGATCACAGCTCACTGCAGCCTCCACTTCCCAGGCTCAAGTGATCCTCCCACTTCTCAGCCTCCCAAGTAGCTGGGACTACAAGTGCACACCACCACACAAGGCTAATTTTTGTATTTTTTGTAGAGACAGGGTTTCTACATATTACCCAGGCTAGTGTCGAATTCCTGGGCTCAAGGGATCCACGATCCCCCTTGACCTCCCAAAGTGTTGGGATTACATGCGTGAGCCACTGTGTTGGGCTTCATTGACATTTTAACTGTCTGTTCCTTGCCTAGATTCACATAAATCCAAAGCTGTATGTAGCCAACATGGTTCACATTTGTTGGAAAATGTGTTTTTTATTTGTTTTGCTTTTTTTTTTTTTTGAGACAGAGTTTCGCTCTGTTGCCCAGGTTGGAGTGCAGTGGCATGATCTCGGCTCACTGCAACCTCTGCCTCCTGGATTCAAGCAACTGTCTGCCTAAGCCTCCCAAGTAGCTGGGATTACAGGCACTCACCACCACACCCGGCTAATTTTTTGTATTTTTAGTAGAGCTGGGGTTTCACTATCTTGGCCAGGCTGATCTTGAACTCCTGATGTCATGATCCACCCTCCTCGGCCTCCCAAAGTGCTGGGATTACAGGCCCCTTGTTCAGCCACCACACCTGGCCCCTTATTTTGTTTTTCTAATATACTTTGATCCAATCAGCTTGAGAAAGCAACACAACTCCAAATCCTATCTTTTAGATGTAAGCAGTGTTCAATTTGTTAATAAATTTGCTTTTCACACCTTTCTCTAAATAAAAGGTATATCTCTCTTTCTTGTGGTTTCTTCCTTCTTTACATGATAAGAAAATGACCCCCTTAATTGTAGTTTACTCATTCAAAAATCGCTAGTTCAGTTTGCAGGGTATGGATTCTCTATTAAAATCTCAGTAGCAATGGTGCATAGAGCTACCGGGAAAACAAAGGCAACACAGCACTGCTCAAGTCCTTCCTTTAAATATAAAAGATATTCCTAAATGTAAAATCTACATTTGCTATGTTTTAAAAAATAAACCCATATATATTTGAAAATTCTTCAAATCGGAATATTTACAGAGTGTACAAATATTGATATCTAGAATTAGATGCATAGAACAAGGAGTAAATCAAATTTTCTGCAAAAATCCAGCTTTTTTAGTTAAATATTTTAGTAATTTTAGTGATAGGAACCTTTTCGTTGTTGTTGAAACAGGGTCTTGCTCCATCACCCAGGCTGGAATGCAGGGGTGGGATCACAGCTCACTGGAGCCTCAACCTCGCAAGTTCAAGTGATCCTCCTGCCTCTCAGCCTCCCAAGTAGCCGGAACTAGAGGTGTGTGCCACCACAACTGGCTAATTCTTTTTCTTTTTAAAGGTAGAGATAGTGTCTCTACATGTTGCCCAGGCTGATCTCCAACTCCTGGGCTCAGGCATTCCTCCCACCTCAACTTCCCAAAGTGCTAGGAATACAGCCACCACACTCAGCCAATGGAACTTTTAAGCATACAGTAAAGTAGTGGCTCATAGAACCAGGAAGAAAGCCAAGTGCCCCGCCTCACATCTATGCAGGAGGCCCAACCCACACTGGGGTCCTGATGGTATCTGAGGTGCCCCCTGGAGGACTCCAGTGCAGACCCATCAGCTGGAACCAAAGCAGCCACTGACCAAGTAAGGCCCCTGGTCTGGAAAGCATCTTCCCTGCCTTGCTCAGGATGCTGCCCTTCACGGTGGGGGACTTGGACCCAGAGACACCTCTGTTGTTCATTTTAACTTGTGGTTTTTGATGATGGATTTAAGGCTTAGGGCTCCCTTAAAGGTTGGGAGAAAAGACACTGATGGGAAAGGGGTAGCTTGAAGAAAGACTCCAAGGTGATTCTCAGACTATCCCCTTCCCACCCCACCTCTCTGTGGTATGGGTAGGGCCCTTAATGTGCCACAAGGCTGTAGGCTGAAGTTAAATTCTGTTTTCCTGGATATAAACAGAAGATTCCAATCCTTCTAACCCCTTCCTCAGCCACCCAAGAGTCCAACCGTTGTGTGAATATAGAAGAAAGGAACTTCCCTAATCCCTTGGGGCAAGTAGAAAGTGTGCCCCTGGCATGGATAAGGATATATACGTTGCGATTTGAAGAATTTACCTTGAAGTTTCACAGCTTTTCAGTGGCTGAGCAGGGATCTGACTGCTTCATCATGCCTCAGGAAACTGGGCTGCAATGGAAAACATGAACCTTTGAAAAACATCTTATAAAATGAGGCCCAAAAGTTCAGGTACTATATATGGAACACGGAAAACAGTGAAGCAAAAACTAATTTCTTGAGCAGGGTGCAGTGGCTCACACCTGTAATCCCAGGATTTCGGGAGGCCAAGGCAAGTGAATCACTTGAGGTCAGACATTTGAGACCATCCTGGCCAACATGGTAAAACCCTGTCTCTGCTAAAAACACAAAAATTAGCCAGATGTGGTGACACATGTCTGTAGTCCCAGCTGCTCGGGAGGCTGAGGTGGGAGGATTGCTTGAGCCTGAGAGGCGGAGGTTGCAGTAAGTCAAGATTGGACCACTACAGTCCAGCCCGGGCCACACAGCAAGACTCCGTCTCAAAAAAAAAAAAAAGAAATCTTGTTCTAAGTGACTGAAGCTGAGGCACTTCACCATCCCTTCTCTACTCTCCTCCTGAACATTTCATCAGTCCCTCAAATTCCTCCTCTATCTGCTGCAGTTAGTGTCAGAACATTATATTCCAATTAAACTCTAGGCAGAATTCTAGGTGGTCTGCAGCCAGTCCTGTCTGTATTCTGAGGGTCTCCAGCCTTCTGCTCCCATCCATTGCTCTCAGAGGTTCACAGGTCCTCTATCAGCCTATCTGAGGGCAGAATTTGCTAGTCCTCTAATGAGATTTTGCAGTGGCAGAATTGTGTTGCTCTATGGGATACAAATGTAGCAGCTGCAATTCTCAGGACATTTGGAGAACATTTCAGAAGAAATGCAGTCATTTTGGCTGTTCAGATGCTTTAGGAAAAAGGAACACTGACTGAGGGCTGGTGGGGATAGTGAATTTGAGTTTGGCCCAGAAGCTAAGTATTACTGAACAATGACAGAATTCCATTAAGCACCCTGGAGGGCCCCCCATCCCCTCCACAGCATGGCAACAGTGTAACAGGGCATTGGGAGGCTAAAAGAAATATTTATAGGCCTGGTTCACTCCTGTACTCCCAGAACTTTGGGAGGCTGAGGTGGGCAGATCACTTGAGGTCAGGAACTTGAGATCAGCCTGGCCAACATGGCGAAATCCCATTTCTACTAAAAATACAAAAATTAGCCAGGCGTGGTGGCACACGCCTGTAATCCCAGCTGCTCGGGCGTTGAGGCAGGAGAGCCACTTGAACCCAGGAGGTGGAGGTTGCAGTGAGCCAAGATCGCACCACTGCACTCCAGCCTGACGACAGAGCAAGACTCCAACTCAAATAACAAAACAAATTGTAGAGTGAAGAAAGTCTTGGTGATAATCAGATCTGAGGCGCTTCATTAATAGTAATTTTTAAGTCTACCACTTAGATCTCTTAGATCTCACAGACAAGACACAGGAAAGATGCAATTACAGTTTCATTCTGTTTTGTCTTAGTTACTCTCAGAAGCAGACAAAATTCTCCCTGTTATGTGATTCATTTTATTCACTTTGAGTCATTTTCTCTTCACTTCAGCAAATGGAATCACTAGTACTTATATACACTATATATACTGAGTAAGAATTGCTGAGGAATATATGTGGCATTATCAGATGGCATTATTCTCAGTGATTTCATCCCTTATGTCTCACAATAGCTGAGCCCAAGAGTTTTGATGTCATCTTGGATGACTGCATAGTCATAAGATGTATAAGTTTTATACATGCACAAACACAGGACGTGGAAACTCGAATAATGCCCAAACTACTTTACCTAAGTAATCCCTCTCTCCAGCATCTTCATTATTCCATCCGGCTTTTCCACTGACTCCCCCTTTCTCCTCAGTCAGCTGTGCTGCAGTTTTCAACTTCCACCACTTACTGAACATTTGGTCAGTAATTGAAATCCAACTCATCACAGCCCTACTCAACATGGATGACATCTGGCTTCTTATGTAAGCAAGGCCAGGTTAGAGTTATCTTTGGAATTAAAGCAGAATAAGTAAAGAAGATGCACATAGAGACCATTGCAAGTATCAATATATTAGAAAGGAATTGTCCCCTGAGAATTACTATTCTAACTAGATCCACAAACGCCATTCAAAAGCTAGGCTTACTGACAAAATATAAACCTACATCAGTAGCTCTACGGCAATAGCAGACTCCTGGTATCCCTGAGACTGGTGATACTTGCTAGTGGGACGGATCTCTTATCGATGGTCAGATGGCAGCACCAGATTCGCTGACACTGAGTCAAGCTCTTCAGTGGTGAATGTCATTATTACCTTTATCTTTTAAGCAAATAGCAATTCTAGATTTTAAATAATTTATACATTTTCTGATCCTACTTTTGTAAGTTTTAAAAAATTAAAGCATCTATTTAGCTACTTAGTTGTTAATGCTGAGATGTACATTTCATTGTGTAAGATGCTCACTGTTTCACATTTTGGGTTTATTTCAACTTGAGTTTTAAATTTTGTTTTTCATATAAATGTAAGAGTGGATACCAATATATTTCCGGTTATTTCTACAACATCAGGAATTTTTAAAAATTAAAAGATTATTTTGAAAATAAAAAACAAACAGAATTCAGATTTAATATCTTCATTATTCGATTTTTTAAAATTTAGTAATATATTTATTAAGATCAGCTTGGATGGGTGGGTGACCAAAATCCCAGATCCCAGTGTCTAGATCATGTATTTGTACACAAGGATTCACCATGGTTGTATAATGACAGTTGTATGTGCTGAATAAATCCTACAGAGCCCCAAGGCTTTTCAGTAGGTGGATCATAAGGAAGTTCTGTAGGATCCAGATATGCAAATAAATAAACAAACATAAATTATGTCATAGGGAATTAACACTTCATAGTTTAACTGTGTCTTATACTGGATATAACTCCATGAAACATCAAGACTATTTTATTTATAGAATTTAATAAGTCCTTAACAATGACTTCAATCCATGGATATGTTTCTTCAGAATAATAGACATTTGCACATCCTCCCAAAATTTTTGCATAATGCATGAAAGGGCTATGGATGCTCTAAAATCCATTCATGAGCAACCTAGATATAGACCTCTATAGAGTCCAGGATAGACACCTCCATTGCATAAGTTGGGGAATGGAAGAAATGACAGGTTAGAAAGCAATAAATGGAAAATAATTTTAATTTGAAAAATAAAGTATACGTACACACATACTTTTCCCATCTCTTAGAAGGACATCCTGTTGTGCTGAGCAAGTAGCTTCAGGATGGAGGCAACCTCTTAGCTGGAGAAGGGCTCCCTACCTGCCTAACCAAGTCAATCATGTCAATCACGGAGAAGGTGAAGAGACCAAGGTCACAAGTAGTTTGCTTACATAACGAATTGAAATTATACTCCAAAACATCCATATTCAACTTCTTAAAATTATTAATGTTCTTATTCATTAAATGCATTACCCAATGCTACTGGTTTTTGCAAGAACAGTAGGTGAAAATTTGTGAGTTTTTTTTTTTTAATTGTGCAGTGACCATGTTGTAGGAAAATAAAAAATAAAGTAAAATAAAAGTAAATGCTGACCAGCTGATGTTTCTTGAAGCACACTCCAGGACTGAATGATCAAATGGAAAAAAAAAAACTACT